TTTTCCTTTCATTAGACTCCTATGAAGCGAAAAACATTGAGAGAAACGCAGACAGAAAGTAAGACATAACAGACAAAAGAACTGATCTTGCTCCAGTGGACGTGGCTACACTTTCGAGCAAAAAATGTCTCAGTTTTCGAGAGAATTTCTTTTCACAAACAAGGTTTCTTTAATTCTCCATTGAAGAATGACCTCGGAAATCTTCAACACATCCCAAACAATATCCATTGAAAGTTTAATTTGAAAGAAGACTGGAATTCCGGGCACTGTTCGATGAAATTGAAATGTTTCCCCAAAATGCGAAGTTTAAATTGACCAAAAAGCAATGATGAACATCCAGAGCTCTTCGTTGTTCCATAACCTACAGGATTCCAGAAAAGATTGTATTGGAGCTTTGACTCAATTTTTGCGCAATATGACTGCTTGACGATTCCTGGTCCTTTTTTGCTACAGTTTACCTTTTTTCAAAACCAAACTGTCTTTTTTATCTTGTGGGAACATTAAGGTGAAAGCCTGATAACTGCGAATCAGTTTCATGAAGCAAAAATGAATTTCAACGAAGAAACACGGGGTGGCTGTATCATTTTTGAACATAGGAAAATCGACCTCTTCTGAAAAAATAAGCACAAAATTTTTTAGTGTTTTCGACATGGATTTTTGTGTTGATATCTGAACTCGCCATGAAATTTGTCACATTTTCTATCTGGACAGTTTTTAAACTAAATTTTCGAACAAATTTTAGGTGGCTGTATCATTATTGAAATCGCAGTGGCAGAATGAGGGATCTCGCTGTCCTAATATGACAGCCCGGGGGCTAACTGAATCAAAACTGAAGGAAAAAGCAGAAACTACTTCCGAAAAGGCCCAAAATAATGACCTCCTCTTCGTTGGATACTTACAAGCCAGGCCTGACCAGGAAAGGCATTGAACTTCTCATGGAACTTCGAAGCGCAACTCAGTTACATCGAAGAAGCGATTTCAACACTGGTTGGTAACGAGGAACCAGCAGCCCTATCTAACCTTAGCCACACTGTTCAAAAGGTAATGAAATGGAGAAATGGTACCTATTCAACGAGGGAGTAGATTTCCATGGTTTGCAACGGGGTCAGCAAATATGACCCAGGGATCAACAGCACCGCAACTGCCTTTTCTAAACTTGACATTCACCTTGCTCGCAGAACATGGCTGTGATTTCTGTATTCGTTTATGTTTTAGTGTTATCGTTGCTATCTTATGTTCTTTCGATCCGATCGTACTGATCGCACAACTGTTGCTCGCCTTCATAATCCAACTAAGCTTCCATTCTTCCGGAATCATAATGGCCCCGGAAGGATGGAAAACTTGACGGGCCTGGACGGCACACGATCCAGAATTTGATCCTCCGCCCGTGCACGTATAGACTCAATTAAAATAAGTTTTGCAAAAGTTTAAGCCTTTTTTGGCGAGCTTTCGGCGCTTAGCGCCTTTGTCGAGCCTGAAATGAAAATTATAAGCTTTCTTAAAGTCTGTTAATATATTAAAATATATTAACTGACCACTGCTCAAAAGTGTAACACTTACCACCCTTGTCGGTCTGTGAAGCAGGAACTATTCCCTACCCTAGACTTACCCTTAAATAGCGTTGACGTGCTACGACCGTTATTTCCCAAAATATCGCATTCATTCCACAGTGATGATAACTGCAGTCATGCGATGAGTTGAAGAGAGTCACGTAACTCGTCTCTGCTATTTATTTCCGGGGCTAGTCTTTTTATTTCCAGAGCCTCCAGTATTTTGCGTTCCACTGTGTTTTCAACGGAACGGTGTAGGACTTTTACGTTGAGGGTGGGTGGATCCCCATGGGCATGTTGTTGGGTTCTATGTTTGGAGAAGCTGTTACCTGGATATGAGGCCGGATTTTGTAGAGCCCTCCGATGTTCATCAAGTCGTTTGTGGAGAGGTCTTCTTGTTTCTCCAACATACTTATGCCCACATCCTTGGCATTCTATTGCATAAACTGTACCTCTTAGTTGGCATATTTTGTCGTCCTTACAGTAGATGCAACCATTCCTCCCACATTTATCCTCGTAAGGTCTGGAGTATGTCAGCAGTCGCTTCAAGTTCGGAACACAAGTCGTACTGGGAGCGAGGAATTCCTTACGACATTGTTGACCTTCCATGCTGTTTCTTCGTTAACATACGGCATTATCTTGGTGATCCCATCAGACTTAATTCGACTCCGAGATGACTTAGAGACCGGAAAAAACGTGTGTAGAGGTGAGAGAGGAGTAGAGGTTGAATGTGAACGCTGGGCGTGGCACACCCGAAGTGGGCGGAGTTTGCCACCACTCTCATAACTCGGTTCCTAGAAGTCCGGCGACCGGGGAAAAGGTGGATAAGGGTTGAGGAGGGAGTGGGGTTAATGCTATTGGTGGGCTAAGCATGCACCAAAGTGGGCGGAGTTTGCGACGAAAATTCATAACTCGGCTCCAAGAAGTCCCGGAGGCCGGGAAAAGGTGGATAGAGGTGGGTGGAGGAGTGGAGGCCAACTGTATTGGTGGGCGGGGCACCAAAGTGGGCGGAGTTTGCGACGAAAATTCATAACTCGGTTCCAAGAAGTCCTGGAGACCGGGAAAAAGTGGATTGAGTTTGTCAACGGAAGGGAGGTCAACCGCTATTGGTGGGTTGAGCGTGCGTTGAAGTAGGCGGTGTTTGTCACGTGATATTACAGAGGTTGAAAGAGAGCCCAGAGGCTGGGAAAGTGGATAAAGGTTGGCGAAGGAATGGGGCCAAATGCTATTTGTGGGCGCCAAGGATTTGCGGAGTTTCCCACGGTGAACTATAAAAATATCAATGGCCCTGTTTCCTATCAATGCGGTCCCGTGTGATGCACGCGAATGCGTGCGCCGCCAAACTGGTAAATTTATTGAAGGGTAAAGGCTGTTAATGGAAAAATCACAAAAAGGTGCCGAAATTTGTTCACTGAATACCTTACCTGTTTCTAATGGCTGCACCAAGTGGGTTAAAGGCTCCTTAGCGGTTTATTCTACCCTTTTTCATAATTGGTGGAACAGTCACCACAACCACGTTCATTTCAAGCACCACACAGCACACACTCGTGGAGCGTGAATTACCTTCGACTAAGTGAATTTACTGTCACTTTTATGGAATGCTCGATGAAGGGCAAGGCTTCTCCACCTCCACAAATGTTGTTCGGACTGAAATCTGCACTATGAACACTTTTTACAGAATCACGGTCCGCGGCAAATGATACGTCACCAGCTGAAGGTTTTCACGAAAACGAATTGTCAGAGAAACATGGAGATCAAAGCTGTGGAGATATGATTTTCGAGGGCGATGTACCTGAAGAACGAGGAGATCACGTGGTCGGATCAAATTTCGAGTGTGGTGCAGTCGATGTCATATGGCTGGCTAATAATGAGTTAGATAGTGCTTCGATAGACAAAGAAAGGTGAGCTTCTCTTTTACCATTAGTTTACACGTAAGCGTATAGCGCGGTTCATTACCAAATTGTTTCGTTCTAGTGATATCTTCTATCCATCAGTTGAGGTGGGCGCGAATGAAACAGCAACTGTCATCGATTTAAGTGGGTTCCAGTTATTCTTGCTTCTTATAAGTACCTGCTTTTTTCACGAACATTTCATTTTTATTCACAAGGTTTTTTTTCCTGTGTGTTACATATGCCATGCTCGGGGATATTACGCACCAGGATGAAAATCGTATTGAGGACGTGGTCGCAGCAGTGACCCCCTCATGAAGTTGGGGTCTTGATACGATCTTCCCACCTTGGATTCTATGGCGAAGTTCTGGTACTTTTCATCATGTTACGCTATAATGCGAAGGAATGCTAGTATCAGGAAGTGTCGTGCGCACACCGGAAAATTATTTTATTGAGTCATACGTGCACGGGCGGAGGATCAAATTCTGGATCGTGTGCCGTCCAGGCCCGTCAAGTTTTCCATCCTTCCGGGGCCATTATGATTCCGGAAGAATGGAAGCTTAGTTGGATTATGAAGGCGAGCAACAGTTGTGCGATCAGTACGATCGGATCGAAAGAACATAAGATAGCAACGATAACACTAAAACATAAACGAATACAGAAATCACAGCCATGTTCTGCGAGCAAGGTGAATGTCAAGTTTAGAAAAGGCAGTTGCGGTGCTGTTGATCCCTGGGTCATATTTGCTGACCCCGTTGCAAACCATGGAAATCTACTCCCTCGTTGAATAGGTACCATTCCTCCATTTCATTACCTTTTGAACAGTGTGGTAAGGTTAGATAGGGCTGGGTTCCTCGTTACCAACCAGTGTTGAAATCGCTTCTTCGATGTAACTGAGTTGCGCTTCGAAGTTCCATGAGAAGTTCAATGCCTTTCCTGGTCAGGCCTGGCTTGTAAGTATCCAACGAAGAGGAGGTCATTATTTTGGGCCTTTTCGGAAGTAGTTTCTGCTTTTTCCTTCAGTTTTGATTCAGTTAGCCCCCGGGCTGTCATATTAGGACAGCGAGATCCCTCATTCTACACTGCGTTCAATAATGATACAATAATGCCACCTAAAATTTGTTCGAAAACTTAAAGTTCATAGAGTTTCTGAAAAACTGTCCAGATAGAAAATGTGACAAATTTCATGGCGAGTTCAGATATCAACACAAAAATCCATGTCGAAAACACTAAAAAATTTTGTGCTTATTTTTTCAGAAGAGGTCGATTTTCCTATGTTCAAAAATGATACAGCCACCCCGTGTTTCTTCGTTGAAATTCATTTTTGCTTCATGAAACTGATTCGCAGTTATCAGGCTTTCACCTTAATGTTCCCACAAGATAAAAAAGACAGTTTGGTTTTGAAAAAAGGTAAACTGTAGCAAAAAAGGACCAGGAATCGTCAAGCAGTCATATTGCGCAAAAATTGAGTCAAAGCTCCAATACGGTTAACAATCTTTTCTGGAATCCTGTAGGTTATGGAACAAAGAAGAGCTCTGGATGTTCATCATTGCTTTTTGGTCAATTTAAACTTCGCATTTTGGGGAAACATTTCAATTTCATCGAACAGTGCCCGGAATTCCAGTCTTCTTTCAGAATTAAACTTTCAATGGATATTGTTTGGGATGTGTTGAAGATTTTCCGAGGTCATTCTTCAATGGAGAATTGAAACCTTGTTTGTGAAAAGAAATTCTCTCGAAAACTGAGACATTTTTTGCTCGAAAGTGTAGCCACGTCCACTGGAGCAAGATCAGTTCTTTTGTCCGTTATGCCTTACTTTCTGTCTGCGTTTCTCTCAATGTTTTTCGCTTCATAGGAGTCTAATGAAAGGAAAACCCTTAATGAGGAAGGAAAAACTCGAAAGAAAGTAAACAGAAAGTAAGACATAACAGACAAAAGAACTGATCTTGCTCCAGTGGACGTGGCTACACTTTCGAGCAAAAAATGTCTCAGTTTTCGAGAGAATTTCTTTTCACAAACAAGGTTTCTTTAATTCTCCATTGAAGAATGACCTCGGAAAATCTTCAACACATCCCAAACAATATCCATTGAAAGTTTAATTCTGAAAGAAGACTGGAATTCCGGGCACTGTTCGATGAAATTGAAATGTTTCCCCAAAATGCGAAGTTTAAATTGACCAAAAAGCAATGATGAACATCCAGAGCTCTTCTTTGTTCCATAACCTACAGGATTCCAGAAAAGATTGTTAACCGTATTGGAGCTTTGACTCAATTTTTGCGCAATATGACTGCTTGACGATTCCTGGTCCTTTTTTGCTACAGTTTACCTTTTTCAAAACGAACTGTCTTTTTATCTTGTGGGAACATTAAGGTGAAAGCCTGATAACTGCGAATCAGTTTCATGAAGCAAAAATGAATTTCAACGAAGAAACACGGGGTGGCTGTATCATTTTTGAACATAGGAAAATCGACCTCTTTTGAAAAAATAAGCACAAAATTTTTCAGTGTTTTCAACATGGATTTTTGTTTTGACTTGTTTTGTTTGTTAACTGCTGTTTTAACGCCGCAGTTCGCGTTGCGAATGTTTCACAAGAATGCTGGGTTGTGAACAAAAAAAAAGTTTTTTTTGGCACTATTCAACGGTTCATTTTTGGCACTGGCGCCATTTGGCGCCAATTTGGCGCCAAGGGTGTTTTCACCAAATTCGCTGTAAACTTGCACATAGGGGTTATTTGGGGTCCTGATCACGAATATAACATTCATTTTTCCCTCCAGCGCCTGTGCGCGCCTGTTTTCCGCTCGTCTGCGCCCTCTCACTGATCACCTCGCGATCGGGACTAAGCCTTTGAGGAGGAGAGTGCTCCGAAGTGAATAACACTTATCCTGTGATCTTATACGCTTTAACGTTTGCCACATGTTGACTGGACTGGTTCACCCACCCCGGAGTCCTCCCTCCTTCTAGGCTCAGTCCTAGGTATTATGTACAAGTGAGAGGACCCAGGAGAATGGAAAATGTGCGTTGAACGGTGGAAATGCTAAAAACGAATGACATATCCGTAATCAGGACCCTAAATAACCCCTATGTGCAAGTTTACAGCGAATTTGGTGAAAACACCCTTGGCGCCAAATTGGCGCCAATTGGCGCCAATTGGCGCCAGCGCCAAAAATGAACTCGACTTCTTCGTGGTCAGATTGACGGGCCACATTTGCCAGCCAATTTTGGCGCACGAGATGCGGGTGTTCTTCACGCAAATTATTACCTGCTCCAGTATAGATACAGACACAAAGTGTGGAGGGTAATTAGTTTGAAGGGTCCTGGATGCGAAATAACGTGAGGGCTTGGTTGCGTTTTTGGCGGTCGTATAGTTGAATAGATGCCGTAACAGGGTCGGTCCTATCGTTGCTACTTTTCGAAAAATTTTTACGACCCCCCTCCCCAAAGGTGGATTTGGTACGACCCCCTTCTCGACCCTCGACCACCATATTCCTCGCTATAGTATTTCATTCTGGTATCACTCGACCCACGAAACCCGCCCACTTTTTCCTCCAAGAATGCCGTCGAGCGGGGGGGGGGGGGCAAAATTCCTAAATTTCCACGCATTTTACCCACTTTATATATACGCGCGCTGAAACGGCAAATTTTCTCCCGCGCCGCTCCCCACTCATCACATGCAACTTCTTACAACCGAAGCAAGTACGACCCCCCCTCTACAAACTCATCAAAATACGACCCCCCCCGTTGCTACTTGTAGCAACATAGGGTTGACCCTGAGTGCCGTTTTTTTTTGTTCATTTTTTTTGGCGAATCCTGGGGCGAAAGTTTTGGTCACAACCCAGCTTCTTGTGAAACATGGATTTTTGTGTTGATATCTGAACTCGCCATGAAATTTGTCACATTTTCTATCTGGACAGTTTTTTAGAAACTTATGAACTTAAAGTTTTCGAACAAATTTTAGGTGGCTGTATCATTATTGAACGCAGTGTATCTCAGAGCTTGCCTTTAGGTTCCTTAGGTTATTGCAAAAGCGAGACCACTGTTAGACTTCTATGAAGGGAAGATCCTTGCCAACGAGCCGCAGTACTTGTCGATGTGTCGGCTCACGATGGAATTTTATCAGGGCCATTTTAATAGAAAAAAGTTACTCGAGGAGTTTCCAGGATATGATACTACCAGTTTAGCTCCGCACGCTACCGCGCGCATCACACCGAAGGCTTGGGCGAAAAAGTCGGTGGAACGTTAGGTTTACCGGTAAGAAGTAAGTTTTTCAGTGAAATGCGTTAGCTGTCTCTCCGCTTGATACGCGCGGATATGGAGCTAAACTGGTGTCTGTAAACAACCACCATGCATAAATGTCAGAATAATTTGGCGGTCGAATAACCTTTGACGCTAATGAATTTGAAATGGAAATACCCAGTACTCATTATCATGTTTCTCAAACATCCACCGTACATTTTTAGGAACTCTGGGAGTGTAGCGGCCGAATGGTATTTTGGGTTAAGATAACAACGCAAATGAAATGTTATTGAAATGAAAAGCGTTATCTCGAATCTGGTTTCGAGTGACCTCTATGTTCATACGCATCATTGTTATCAGCCGTTATCTCACTTGTCGAAACCAACGCCTCACTGCTGCTGGGACGCCCATTGTGAATTTCGTGAAATTTGCGTTTAGCGCCTCTTATCAGCTCTTATCAGTCGTTATCACTTTCTGTCCCCCACCAAATATGTTCCCGTCCCACCCTGTACATCACTTCTTGGAACCAACGCCCCACTGCTGCTGGGACGCGCGCTATGAATTTCGTGAAATTTGCGTTTCAGCGCCTCTTATCAGCTCTTATCAGTCGTTATCACTTTCTGACCCCCACCAAATATGTTCCCGTCCTGCCCCTACATAATACTAAAATTACAGCGTCCCATCGTTGCAGCGAAGCGCGCTATGAATTTCGTGACACACAAACACACTTTTTTTTCGAAAGGAAATCATAGCGAGCTAATTTCTCAGAAAGACTTGCAAAAAGTAAGAACTACTTATGCCTTTTTTTGACTACTCTTAACGCTACTCTTTCTCTGAGCGCTCCCTTCCTCTTTTCCAAAGAGATGTTGAGCAGAAAAAATAGTATCGTCAGAAACTTTAAAAGATCACAGACAAGACGATCAGGATGTGTGAATTATACCTTGAGTCATCAAGGAAATGAATTCTTAATAAGGAGGGCAGTTAATAGAATGTTAGTATCTCAAGTCCACGCCGTGCAACTGCAGATGTGATTCAATCTGCTCCAGAATAATCTGTTTAAGCCAAACTGCGCAGGAGTGTGCATATTGACTATGAGATGGCTTCGCATCTTTGTCCCCCCTCGCGACAGTCCTGTTGCACCACATCCTCAACTGCACATATAATATTTAGAGGGAACCACGTATGACTTCTCGAATACGTTTGAGCGGCGGCTGGTGCGAAGTGACTAGCGCGTCAGAAGTCGAACAAGAAGTTTCTTGTCCGCCTCTAACGATTTACCAGAATAGATGTATAGACCTTTCGTTACGGTTAATCAAAGTTTCGTATTAACGGAGGTGTATTCCCTTTCGTAGGCATACCACAAGCATTATTGAAGTCTTGTCTACTATTTCCTATTTTTTTATTTTTTTATTCTTATTGTTTGTTATTCTATATTGTTATTGCAGAAGGATACCAAGCCAATAGCCAGAATTCTGCAAACCCTTCAGACTCCGTAACTCTGAAGTTCTCCCGGCTTGAGTCTCCGTCTTCATCAACAGATGCCGACGATCAATGCTAGTTTTTCTCTTTTTGGTTATTCATCACCTGCCTTTTGCTTTGTTCGAGAGGAGCATATTCTCTCACACGCATCCAGGTATTACTCCTTATTAAAACTTCATATTGTCTGTTGTTAAACGACAGGCGTAGGAAAAAAATATGAACTCCTGTTTTGTAAGACGGAGGGACACGCTCGTTCCTGTCGTGGGATTTTCTTGAATTTCCGCTTCTCAAGTTCTTCTTCTGCGAGCGCTTGCTGTACTCTGATATGATTGCGGAGCAGTTCTGCTTGAGTCATAAGTAATGTCCACATTTTTTAAAAGTTGGGCATTCTTGCCAAAATACATTTATAGTGCTCCCGCCAATGTGTTGGGCAGAGATCCCATCATTCACATCACGAAGCGAGATCATCCTCTTTCACTTCAACTAGCTCCGAAGCTGCCCTTTTCGAACTATGTTCACAACTGTTGACCCCTGAAGAAAACTCAAGTGGAGAAGCCTGTTGAAATGTGGATAGCATTGGAAGACTAGACCTGATGAACGAAAAGGCTTGTCAAAATTGGCTTACGGAATTTCGAGAGGGTACTACAGCCTTGGAGGCCAAGTAAATTGATTGAGTCTTAAATTGTTTCTTACAGTCGCCTCGACCACTAGCCGCTTATTTGCACAGAAAATGAGCAATGGTTCGGGAATGTCATAGTTTGAGCCTTCCAAGATATCGAAAAATTTCATAGTGATGCAGACTTGAAGAATACAGTGCGTTTCATAATTATAAGCTCCCCCTCGATTTTTGCAGTTCTCAAGCAAGCAGCTAAGATGAAATTATTTGGCAAATATCTGCAGATTCCTCATCTCAAATAACCTTCGTATTCGAATTTGGGTTGCAATACCGTTCACCTCAACTTTTTTATAAAATTTTTTAAGTAGGTATTGGTTTTCGCACCGTTTCATAATTATAAGCACCCCCTGGGAACATGAACAATTTATTAATGTAAATGGCATATGTACAACAGTTAATAATCGATGGCTCCTCCTTGTTTGAGCGCAACATCAAAGAGTCTACGAGGCATACTAGAAACTAGGTTTCGAAGCAGTTCTTCATCAATTGCTTTCCAGGCTTCGACGATCGTCTTTTTCAGCTCTTCCGTACTCTGGAACTGACGATTGTTCGCGTAAACCTTTCTGACTATGATGCCCCAGATGTTCTCCATCGGATTGAGATCGGGACTGCAGGCTGGCCATGGCAGAACGCTTATGTTTTGGGATCGCAGCCATTCATTTGTTGAACGACTTACGTGAATGGCAGCGTTGTCTTGTTGGAAGACATAATTATGATGACGACCCCGGCTCAGAAAGGGCACCAGATGATGCTCTAAGACGTTCTGGTATTCCTTGGAGTCCATTCTGCAGCTCACGAAGGCTAGCTCGAGCACGACGTCATTGCAAAATGCACCCCACACCATCACACTTCCTCCACCAAAATTGCGACGGCTGAAGTGAACCGGCTCCTTGCGCAGGTCACGCCAGTAGTACTTGTTTCCATCAGGTCCGTCAAAATTGAACTTTTTTTCATCCGAAAACACGACCTGAACGAAATTGTTTAGCTGTATGGTGAGATTGTGACGCAGGCTTACCTTCGTCCAATCTCTTCCTAAGTTCAACCTTGCAAATTCTAGTCGAGCCTCTCTGTGGCGGTCGGTAATCCGTGGCGCCTTCTTCAAAGCTTGCCTGACGATGTCCTCGCTTCTCTCCAAACCGTAGTTTTTGACACGGAAAGGTTTAACTCCGATCGTATCTGGTTCAATGAGGAGGTGCTGTTGGAAACAGCCCTCAGAATTCTTCGCTCATCGTGGGCTGTAATCTTTCGTGGGCGTCCAGAGCTTGTGTTGCATCTGTAGACGTCTTGTCTTTCCAATACTCTTCGAATGGAGCAGACAGATCTTCCTAATTGTCTGGAAATGGCTTTCTTACTAAGCCCAGCTTCACGAAGAGCTTTAATCTGAGCCTGTTCATCAGAAGATAGCAGGCGACCCCGAGCCATTTGGTGATAAGAATTGGAGATGCATTTGCTACATATTCTAGCCTTTACAAGTCCCTTGAAACACGAATTTTCTTGTCCTCCATAATTAATTGTTTATTTTCTCAGGGAGGGCTTATAATTATGAAACGCTGTAAAATTGAAAAAACTGTTATAAAAAAGTTCAGAAAAATGATGCTGCTGCCAAAATTTGGATACGGGGGTTATTCGTGCTGGGGAATCCGTTGATAATGCTAGAAAAATTCCTAAATGGCTGCTTATTCTGGAAATGCAAAATTTGAGGGGGAGCTTATAATTATGAAACGCACTGTATATATCACATCTTGGTCCAAGAAATCGATTTTCGGTCCTTTTGAAAAGGCCTCAATTGTTTGAGAAGGGCATGGTTGGTATCAGCCAAATTTCATGATTCCGCTGAGCGGACGTAGTTTTGTAGCCAAAGCGAATTACGAATGGGACCTTCACTCGAATAATTTTCTGCCCTGCAATCCTTGCAATGAATCACTGGAGACACTACGGCTAGCGCTAACATCTGTTGCTTGCGGCTGTAAAGACTTGTCGCAGATTTCTGCATCTTGTATATGAAATTCCTCTACTGGATGCTCATTCTAGACAACGTATTGGAAATTAAAGGCTGAATACTACTCAGAATCTCAGCTTCATGATCCCCCAACCGTTGCATTTATATAATTTCATAGGAACCAATTACCAGATGCCCTTCAGTGCAATTTCTGTAGAAAAAAGAGCCACGATGGTGGGCACTCCCCTCAAAACAAGATCCAATCATTTTTTGCGTCTAAGATTGCTCAATTTCGATGGGGAAGTATCCACTCACTTGCGAGTAAATAGTGAACTGTTGTGGGCAACTGTGGGCAGCTGTGGTGATTGTAGCTTTGACTAAATTCAGATGCAAGGAAAGCTTCCAATTTATGAATACTGGTGTCGAACTCGAACATCGCTTATGCTCAACTCAAAGGCACGGGTTGCGATCAAATTGGTGTGTTATTTCGTTCGGGAACTAGACATCGCAAACAGGAACGTTGTTGGGGTTAAGATTAAAAACCACCATGGAAGCAACACTGCAATTTCTCGCGAGGCCGACCAGGTCCGAGAGACAGCGCTGTGAGGAGAAGGGAAACATCAGAGCCCGAGAGAGCGCTGACACCACATATGCTGCGATTGATAAGTATGGTAGCTATTGTACTGGTCAAGTGAAGGCATAGGCTCCTTTGCAGCCCACATTCAAATCTCCTGAGTATCACTATCCCTGTGATTAGGGAATGTTCACCTGCCTAGATGACAGAATTCTCCAAGGATTTAATCACGACTCGTAGCTTTGGTAGTAAACAGTAGCATAGGGTGCTTACTAATCAAAGGCAGCGATTGCGATGGATTCTGGAGGGATTTGGACATGGGAGGTATGCCAATGGCGAAAAAAGCAGACCAGTCTGTCAAGAATGCGCAAAGTAGTACCCAGGGTCAACCCTCCGTTGCGCAAAGAACAAAGAGGGGGTCGTATCTAGAGAGACGGGCTGCAAGACGGCTTGAAAAGTGCAGTGTCCGGCAGTGCACTTTCACGCTCTAATGTTCTCCAGGAGCTCTGCACCGTGCAGCTGTCGGAGAGTCACACAGACAAGAGCTCCATGGGAGCATTAGAGCATGCAGAGCATTATAAGTCTCACTATCAGCCATTATTATCCTTAATACACGGACGGCGCTTTCGCTCGACAGCATAGATCAAGATTACAATAGCCAAAAACTTTGTTACAGCGTAGTGCAAAAACATGGTCTGTCTTCGATGATCGAACATTCCTGAAATCCCAAGGAGAACAAAGTTGTAGAGCAGTT